TATGAAGTGACATATTATTAGTTTGCACGTTCTTTAAGACATTTCTCGTTATTCACGAGTTTCAATAACCTCTAATGTTCATATTAATTAAATTATTCATAAATTATTTAGAATGGCAGATTAATGACTACGAATTTTTATGCAGTCATAAGAAATTTGAAAATGCAATATTAGATAAAATGCAAATGACACAAAAGCTATACAAAATATTTAAAATGTAACTTTTTATAACGTTTGTTATGTAAAACCATATTTCATCATAATTCTGAAAAATATTCTTAAAAAATGTACATTTGCAACCGCAGTTTATCAATGACGAACAAAATATGATTTTCATAACTGAATATAAGTAACCACTAAAATTCGAATAACTTGAGTTTCGAAAAATTAATTACTCTAAAGTCACATCTTGTCAAACTTTTACCCTCCGAGTAATTCAAGAGAACACTGGGAGGAAGTAATTTTTCCGATATTAAAAATTTCTGCGGATTGAAACTATGACTGACTTTTTATGTCAGGCATTACGAGGCTCCGAGAAAAAAGGAATTCTAGACGTTCCGGCCATATCAAAGTGGAGTGCTCCCTTGAAAAGGGTAGAGGCGATAGCTTCGGCTGCTGCTCGCCGAAGTAGAATAGGAATCTACGCGCGAGTCAGACGTGTTCACGTTTAACCCCTTAACTGTCGAGCCTGTGACATATACTGGCACGGCGAATTCGAGAAAAGCAATGTTGTAGAAAAAAAAAGAACTTATTTGTGTAAAACAATATTTGAAAAAAAATTGACATGGCAATAGTAAGCCTTATTGATTTCTTTAACCCTCTGTGGGTCGAATTTTTTTCGTGACTATAAAAAAATTGATGCGGTATGAAATTAATAAACATCAACCTATAAGTACAAATTAACAATGTATTCAGTAGTTGACTTGATTAATGATTTAATGTCATTCGTCATTTTGTGGTAAAAGATTGAATAAATCTACAAGATCCCAGTATATTGATGTGAGGGTTAAATTGAGGAATATAATTGAATTTTTCTGAAAAACGAAAAATTTTTTTGTCTATTCGGAATTTGATGGCAACAACTTTATATTCATTAGCAAATGAAATCAAGACTAATACTTGATTTGAAATTCGTTAAGTGGTTAAACCTTATGCAGGCAAAGAAAATCTACATTCATCTAAATTTTAGTCTTACAATATTTTTAATATAACCTTTATTTTAAAAGCGCACATTGATATGAAAATATGTAACCCTTTACACTCCAATGTCCACTTAATCTGATAGACACAGAATTATAAAATTTAATATTTAATATTAAGCTCTGTATAATGCGCCAATATGTGAAATATTAAAACAAAAAGAACTTTGTTGAACTTTTAAGTTGCTTCCAGAAAATATCGTTTGTATCTCATTGGACAATGTTCAATATTTCTAATGAAATGCTGTTGGAGTGCAAAGGGTTAAAAAATGGAGATCCAAAGCAGTTTTGTCAAATGTTTAGAACTGAGTAAAATTATGCGGCCAGTTGCCGATGTAAGGGTTAAGAACACGATCAAATAAATAACGCAGACGTCACGTTTGAGGACACTTCATGTTCGGTTTACATCATTAGAATCGATTATATCATTTTGTTAAGCAATAAACATACGCGGCCTGACACATACGTTTTTGCATGCATAACGCAATTTAAATATAACGGAAAAACTTTATTAGTGGAACTTTAACTCTTTCCATCACCTCTAGGAACCGAGTGAATATTAGCTGTTTCCTTTTAACTTGCAAAAAATTCGCTACGCAATGTTTCATATAAACATACTGAATTTTTGAAGCATGGAAGCATGGAGGTACGGAAAGAATGTTTTTATTGGAATTTCCATTCGCCTGATAAATATAATTTATTCGCGTTTACCTCGCACGTATAAAAAGTCCATTACAAAAAACATTTTATGAGACTTAATTTCATACAAATCAAAGATTCAAAGAGCGTAATTTCTACTAAAATTTGTCTAAAATAATATGCATTTAAAATTTCTAATTTTTTTATTCCATAACACAAATACTTTACAGACTTCTGAAAATCTGGCGGCCAGCAAAATCTTAACGTGTTCACTGAGTTACTTATTCTTTTATAACACAGACAAACAGTAGTAGGATTAATTATTAACACTAGAACTACCGTGTATTTAATATAATTAATATGTAATCCCCATAAAAATGATAAGAACAGATTATTTTTAGTTTCTTCATATAATGATCATAGAATTTAATCTATTTTCATCATTAGCATTTATATACGCTCAATTTTCCTGATCACTATCACCTTTTCATACTTCCTTATGATACAAACGGATTAAATAAAACTACTTATTATCAAAATTATTTCGAATATTCAACGTTTTTAAGATATTAATAATTGCGAAACAAGGAAACTGAAACCAGTCATTTTAACTAGACTAGTAAACTAGTAGTCCTGGTATTAACAAATTGGCATCACAGATCTGAAATCGCACTCATATCTAGCCGCTCACGTTATCAAATACTCTCATTCAATATCAATTTTCATATTGCAATTGTTTCCAAGGAATTTAGTAGTCATTAGTAACCACGGTAACAGTTAACCTGTTAAAACAAAAAGCATTCGACGGAAAGACGCCCGATAAATCGCGTTTAATTCACGCGATGAAAGGTAAACACAGCGACGCGCTGCCAGATAACAGGTGAAATTCGGTTCGCATAACAGACGGTAAGCGGAAAATTCGCAGAAATTACGGCGAACTTCGCTCGTTGAAGAACGGTGGGGGGGACGAAAGGAAGTAATGGTCGACTTTGAGACGGTGCTTGAGTTTTCTAGGAACGGACGCTTGTAGCAACCCTTTTATGGTCCTCGGTTCCGGCGTGCGTTTGAAGTCCCAGCGTATCGCGAATTTCGCGGCGGAGCGACTGAATGAACTCGTTCAACGGGGAAAAGAAGGAAAGGACGAGACAAAGAGGGAAAAAAACGAAGAAGAGACGCGAAAGACTGTGCAATTATTTATTTTAGAAACGGTATCACGCGTACACCGCTATTTTAAACCGCGTCAACAGGCAAACTCCGGAGGCACGCAGGCTACTACGACGCCGACTCCTTGTTTAAAATTATCAACAGACGAATTAATGTCCCGGCACTGATAAATTTTCGCGCCAGCTCTAGTTTTTTCCCGGTCGACGGTGTCCCGCACGCGCGCGCGCGCGTACACGCACGCACGCACGCACGCCTTCCCGCTTGTTGGTTTAAAACCAATTTTTCTAATCCTATTATTCTATGATCCTATTACTCGAATTTGCAATATTCTCCTTTCTATAGCTAGGCAGCCACTTTGAACGGACCGTTCATTCACTCCTCGTTTTATGTAATGTTTTTCTGCTTTGGACCGCCGTGTTTTGCATTGTTCCTGGAGTTGAGTTTTTTCTGGATTTGGTCTGGATCTTTTTGTATTGAGAGCGTAATTGCTGTTTTGTTTGTAATACAGTAGCTTTTTCGGGGAATTCTTTATTTTTTGGTGATGCTAGTGTAGTAAGAATAAATAAATTATATTTTATGTTGTTACTGAAGTTGTGGATTTGTTGTATTGAAAGTGTGATTTGTTTATAATAGTTTATGTTGTTTAAAAACTCTGTTTTGTTTATAATAGTTTCTTCGAGATGAAAATCATTTCTTGAAGATTTTCTAAGAAAATAAAGATTTTATTAGACTCTAGTTTCTATTAATTCATTTTTATGATTGTGAAATTCAATGATATAATTACTGTTACGATTATTATCATTTTTTAGGAGAAAGTGTATATTTTATTTTTAGTACTCTGACTCTTTAATACTTTTTACTATTACCATTACGATAATCGTGCAAATGACTATGAATGCGAATGCGAGTGAATCACATGTGCGATAAAAAATTCAGATACAGCTGAGAAAATAAGAATGGAACGAAATAAGAATTGGGAAGAACGTATGTTCAAAGTAACAGCCGATAAACGAAGATAAAAATATATGTGACACTCTTTCTAATTCTTTTCCACTAGAAACGGTCGCATATAATTTCGATGATTAAGTCGAACGTTATCATCAGTCCTTACTCATCCATAGCATGACTCAATGCTACACTTATGATGAAGTCACCTGTCTTCGAACACTTTACTTCTAACTCCTCCAGCAATCATATAATTTACCTTATTATTAACATTCTCATTACACACCTTCGTCACAAATTAACCTAAATAATTATTTCAATAACATATTCAGGTCATAGCAAGTCCCAACCTAAACAAAACAATTCACACAGAACTCTTAACTGACCACTAACACGCTTACTAATTAATTCTAATAAAACCATTATCTTCCCGATCGCACCTAAACCTCTCTAAATCAACCAAAACAATTCCCAACTGAAACCATCCTTCCTCCCGTTACCTACGACATTTTCAAACGAAACGCACCCGTTGTTCCAAACATGACAATAAGTTAACGATGATTTCGCGTGACGGCTCGAACGAGCCGTTAATTATCGTCGCGTTGAGAACAGGCTTCAAAGAAGCGATGATATTTTCAATCGCGGAACGCAGTCTGACGCACGGCGTCAGAACTTTGTTGTTGCAATGAAAGCGAAAGAAAAAAGGGGAGAAAATACAGAGGAAAAAAACGAATCACGCATGGGAGAGATGGCGAAAGAGGAGGAGAGAGACGACAAGATGGCGGACGACGGTCCGCGCGATGCACGCGAAAATTCACCGGATCCCTCGGACACGGTTACGACTTCCTTCCGGGATCGTCATGAGCTTTCGACGAGTGCATCACACCCGCGCCCGGCGTTCGGCTGTTTTAATTATGACGCACTTCGAGCATATTACGCCAGGCCGTCCGTGGCATGATGCCGAAAATACGTCGATGAAAGACTCGCGATGACGCTCGGAACTGGCTGGGAAACGGGATTACATTGCGAATAACTTAGAATAAATCGCGAACACTTCGCACGGTTAGATCAACGTTCACGCTATTCTTAAATTCACCGTTCCACTTGCGACAATCGGTGAACGGTTCTTGTGAACTACCATAAGCTTGGGGTAGGTTGGGGGGATGAGAGTTCCGTTTTTCGTTTGAACGGTCGTGAAACTTATTAACCCTTCGCGGACGAGACTGTGACTTGACCTACAGTATCGTGACAGACTCGTGACGAAAATTTTAACCCTTTGCACTCGATTCATTTTCAATGTTGTTGGGTGTAACTTGTATTTCGGGAAATGAATGAAAGTAATTTACAGTGGTGGAATTCGACGTTTTATGTTTGTTTTATTTATTGTAATTGCAACTGGATTGAATCTTTATAATCTTTTAAAGTGTGGTACTTTTTCAAATAATTTCCAACATTCTATGACAAATTTGTTTTGTTATCTCCAGTATGACGTACGAGTGCAAAGGATTAAACTATGTTTGAGAAATCTAAATGTTATTTTTTTTTTAGATATAAATTAAATATTATTTTGCTATTGCTAACTATTAACCTTCGGGATAAACGTAGGCATGAAATACGCATCAAAATTTGTTTTTCTTAGTAAATCGTTAACGATAAAGTAGTTGCATCGATCATAGTTAAGAAACAAACACTAAGATTACCAAACGAGTCGAAATGACCTGTTCCTAGTTCCTTCTGTTTGCAATTATTAAAAAGATAACAGATGTTGCTCTGAGACATTGTTAAAGAAATTGATTTAGCAATACGCAAACTGAATTGTAAATCGATTAAAACCCCAATAGTTTTAGTGTTAAAGAGATGCCGCGAGCGTAAAAAATAAACATACAATAAAGAAAATATCGATTTCATTCATTTCAATCTTACCTTCTCAAACATAGTGACAGTGGATTGTTGAGATTGTTGTGATTGAAATGAGTCCAAACACGATGTAAATCAGTCTAGTTTCTACCAGTTTCTAACTTCTAAGATTTCTTTTCATAAAAATCTGGATGATGCATCGAAGTCTTAAATACTAAAAGAAAAACAACCACATGTTAGTCTCTCGTTAGTCGGATTATTAAATTATTCATTTCCAGTTTCCTATTTTAGATATCGACACTCGAGGTCGACGTTACAGTGACATTCGACAGGAAAAGATTAACCTTCTGCACTCGAAAGTATTTCACTGGATGTATTCAACAATTTCGAATGAGATATAGACGACATTCTTTGAAACTAAGTAATATGAAAACATAAATTAATAAGAAAGCTATATTGTTTAAATATTTCACGTATTGATGTGTTATACAAAATTGAATATTATATATAAGATTTTATAATTTTGTTACATGAGATCAAGTGATGAGTGAGAGTCACCTCCCAAGTGCAAAGTGTTGATACCGATCTGAATTTAATGTTGATCTGATTTTTATTTCTCCTAAACCGTAACTATCGTGCTTTTCTTTTACACTGTTTTCTGATTGATACCGTTATTGTTTATTAACTTGCAGTATAGAATGTCTGTCAACTTAAAATGGACTTCTTGCCCTCACACGGGGCGAAAGTTCTGTACTATTTACAAATTTTTTCCTAATTACTATTTATTTATTTTTTCTAATTTATTAACACTAGATTTAGGGGCGTTTATTGTACGATTTATTCTATTGTTTATAGAGAGATTGATGATCTTGGGAATTAGGAACTTAAAAATAGACTATTAGGATATATATTCCTGTAATTGCATCAATCAAAATCGACGTAGACATTTACTAAATAACATTTATAAAATTCAATATGCGTTCCGTAAACCTAGCGTTAAATAAATCTTTTTCCACGACTTATTCTCTAAATTGCACTTTCGAATTTCCCATAGATGCATGAAATTCCCCAGTCTATTGGTGGTGCTGAAGGATGACATCATTATTCTATGAAGACAGCGTACTGTTAGGTAACTTTCTTCGTACTCGTAAAAAATGTAATTTACAACCTTTTCTCTAAATACTTACTCGTCGATTATATATATACACACACGCGCGCACGCACGCGCGTGCGGACCGCAAAGAATGGTAACAATAATAACGACAATACGTCCTCGTTGCACCACGGAGAAAAGTAAATACACAGATTCACGAGAGAGAAAAGAAATGTAGAAATAAGATGACGTGAAGGTGGGATTCAACCTAGTTGTATTTGCGTCCAACCTAAATCTGTTTGTCTCCTAGATTTCAGATTTTCTACTGCAAATGCAACCACTACGCACTAATTTCATTCGGGTCAAATCAGAGGCTATTATTGAATATCAAGAAATAGATCTTTGTACTCCGTTGATTTGACGATGATGTTCTTCGGTTTTCCTTTTTTCCGATGTTTCCTTGGAGCTGTGAAACTCGTCGGAGTTCAAAAGAATCACGTTTTTCCACTTGGATAACTAAATTAATAGGTTCCTCGGTGTATGTTAATAATAATATGTACTTCGTAATTGGAATAGAAGGAAGCGAATACGTACTTGAACGATAAAATAATAGAAGACAGCATAAAAATGCTGAAGTTGTGCAAAAGACGATAGAGTGGAACTAATAGTAGACGCTAATCAATTGATGCTATGTCTTCGGTAAGACACTTACATATTCCAAATCTTGTTAAAGGAATCCAGAACACCGTATCTTAATAGGGATCCTACTAATTTTCTTCCAAATGAAAGTTAAGAAAGAAATTCTTACGTTGCGTTAAGTTTACATTGCTTAGTCAGAATCACATCCTAATATTAAAATACAGAACTTATCTGATAGGTTCTTAGGTCGTTCAGTGGCAATTCTAAGAAGCCCATTAAATGATTGCCGCTGGGTAAACCATTAACTGTGAATGCTTTTTATATATTCCCAGTATAATTGGCGTACATACCTCAGACTAATTTCTGAATACTTTCATAAATATGAAATAGAAAACGAAAGTAGAAAATTAACAACCTAAAACACTAATGTAAATATTCTGTATTATTTTAACAATATTTTTAACATTTTATATTTTTAACAGTATAAAATGAAATTCACTACAGAAGTGAACTACTAGAACGTCACAATTTTTACAACAATAAAAAAGATTGTTTAAATATTCCGTTGTAAAATAATTAATATAAAAGAATATAAATTATTTCATCAAAAATATCTTCAAAGCTACCGGTGTATTTATTTAACCCTGCTACTTTCATAAATATAATTACAAACTCCTTAATCAGGAGAAGTGGCCCTGTCATGGTCAGACAGTAATGGTGGTCGGGTCAACCTTCGACTGATACTGCTGCTCAAAAGAAAACTTGTTATTGCTCCTGTTATTTGCCTTATTTAATGACTTTCCTGTTACCACGGTATTATAAAATTAATTAAGCTAATTAATTGAACATTCCATTGTAATTTTACATCCATTGTATCATAGGTTTGTATGAATTCATTGTTAAAAGTAATTAGTGACAAAAACTGAATTGAGCACGTAGGCGCCGAATGAAAATCATTAACCCGGACCTATTAATCCATAAAATATTGCACGAATAAAATTTCGAGTGATTCAACTGTCTTTATCGGTCTCGTTCAGGGTTAAATTACGTCAATGTTAGACCTTCATCCGATCTAGATTAAACAAGTACGAACGCTGTTGGACGGTTTTATCAAATGTACAGAAGGGAAACATACCTAAGTAAATCATTTACTTACGTTTATTGCCGTTACCGCGAACACGTAGATAATAATATTATTCTCGGCAATAATCGGCCGGATAAAAAATAATCTATGCACTCGAACAACCAGATGGTTACTTCATTCATTTCTCATGAATGTCTTTTCATTCAATCAAATGATTATACGAACAGCTTATTTCACGAGTAATTATTAATGAGTGTAAAGATTGTGTTAATTATAGTATCTGTATAAAAAGTATCGAGTAATGACTAAAACAGTTAAATTTAATTGCCCCTTCTTCATTCTATAACCAAGATGTCTAGCTGAATGAAGAAAGATCTCTTAAAGATTAATATATATATAAATTATTATTATTATTATGTTTTGATTATTATTCCCAACAAATTTCTTCTTGATCTCACTAACCAGCAAAAAAAAAACTTAATGACTTTCTAGATTATATAATATTGTCAGATAAAAATTCTCTGGGAAATGTAATTCAAAAAGATACGTTACCCGCCATCTTTATTTAGTGCACGCATTGCTCAAATAAAATTGCCCGTCTCCTGTACACGTTATACCATTAATCGCTTACACGAGAACCCACGACATGGTAATTCATATCACGAGTGAGTATCCCAAGATTTTCCTCGTCCCTCCGATTAGGAAGGTAACTACGTCCCATTAATTCACGGCCAATGCGCTTAAATTATTAGAAACGTAATAACGTTCGTAAATGTGAAACGGACCGACATGAGCCTCGATTGCCGCGCAATGTAACTTTATAGCGTAACGACATTACCCATTACATCCCTGTGTGGGAAGTCTCTCGTGTAACCTTTACCCAACATGCAATAAATAGGTACGTTACATCGGCGGAGCTCATGAATATTTCATTTTACAATATACCGAATAATCGAGCCATAAAAAAATACTTGAAACCCTTAATTTTCCGTAATTACTTACAGCGCGACTTACCACGTCCGCCAGAATAGAATTCGATAACTACTCGAGTCGAATGACTAACAACCTCTTTTCAATATATTCGATATATATACACGATTTGATATAATCGTAATGTACGATATATATACGATTCGATATATATCGTAATGTACACACACATATATATATACATATTATTAATATATATTATGATATGATATTATATATTATACATAGAATTACTTGTTTTGCTTTTTCTTTTTCGTACGTGCGATTACATTAAAAATAATTTGTCTATATTTCCATTCCCGTAATCGCAATCTTTCCCAACGTCTAAATTTTCCCAGTTACAGTATAAGCAAAGATTCTACGTAATGCATGCATTAACCTCGCCAGTATTTACGCTAAACCGTAACGGAACTCTAACGCGTATCTACGAATGAATACAAAACATCATGTCAAGTGGCAATCGCATAGCTGCTTCGCTCTACAAAATTCTTGTATAATTAATATTCCACGGTCGAACGTTTGCATCGATAATGTGATGCAATTTCACGGGCAACCAACAAAATCGTGAATGTCGCGTGAAATAATCGCGACGAGAATCCCGGCGTCGCTCACAACAAATTATAGGTTATATATACGCACGCACGAAACACCGCGTCGCAGAATAAATCGTACACCGTTTCCGTGTTTCGATATCTCGCGCATGTAACGTCGAGACCGCGCACGTGACCCACCAGCGTGGATTCGATAGTTCTTCCTATGCGTTTTATCAAGCCCGACGATAACGAGCGGTGAAAGGATAACCGCCCGTGTCCCTTGACCTATGCCAACAAACCGTCAAATGCTCCAATGCCAGATTTTTATTCCGCCACCCCCTCCTAACCTACGGAGCTTCAAACTCTGGAGTGACGTACAGAATAGGTAGTTTCTATGTCCATAAAAAAACCGCCTACGGTGGACAGCTCGGATTTGACGTCAATTAATAAAAAAAAACAGTTACCAGTATTTACCGGAATGAATTATCTACGATCATGGAAGACGTCCAAGATCGTCGAACCGCTGACGTCGGAAAAACGAGTGCGTCCGTATCGACAGCTCGCGGGGAAACAGTGATTCCCCTGTATCGTTTTAACAGCCAACAATGCCGGGCATTTTTGTATCATCATAGAAACGCGAAATAGATCGCGGCGAAGTGGTAGCTCGTGATCGCGCATAAGAATCTTATCGAAACCGTCTACGAGCGTCCGTAAGGGAATAGCGCGAAACGGGCGGGGGGAGGGGGAAGTAGTCCCCGGTGTCTCCGAGCCAACCAACGGTGCATCATCTCCGTCACGTAACCGTATTCCATTTTCTCCCGGTTGCAATTTACAGGGGAGCATCTCGTTAAAACAACGTATCGAATTGTGTCGGCGGCGTGTGTCACGGCGGCACTGACGAGCCAGCCGGTCGCGGTGTTCGTCGTCGAGGGAGGAGGCAGAAGGAGACGAGGAGAACGGGAGAAAAGGAATCCGTTCCGTGTCCCTCGGAACGAAAAGAAGCCCCGTGTAGCCCGCGGTCGTTCGGTCGGTCGTCCACGTGGCGGCGCATTGGCTATTTGCCTTGCAATTACACCCAGAAAACAATTAACGATGAGACGATAGTAGCGCGTACGTTGACGTCAATTGTCGAAGATAACGTGAGCGGGCGAATGCGCGCGCGTGCACCAACTCCCGTGACGTTCGTAGTGGTGCGAACATCGCCGGCGGTGGGGGCAGGAGGAGGCGAAAGAACGACGGGAAAGGGTGGTGGTGGTGGTAGCGGTGATGTTCGCTAAGAATGGCTGAGACGTGGACGTGGCGGGGAAGCGGGACCGGGGGTGGGACGGGGCCGGCGACTCTGGCGTAGGCAGGGGGGTAGCAACATGGCTGTCGGTCAGTCGGTATCGAACCGCCGCGTTACGCGAAGCTCCTACGACTCGTACCGTAGGAAACGCCGCCGCTCCGGGACGAGATTCGGAATCTCGTGAACGTGAAGGACGACTTCTCACCGATGGCATCGGCTCTCCGACCTTACGCACCCGTCGAGGTCGGCACCGCCAACGCGTTTCCCTCGCTTCAGAAACGGTTCTACCGGTCCGGAACGTGCAGCACCCGGTAATTCGGGACTGGATCGAACGTAAGTACTGAGAACTTGTCAAACAGCGTCGACCGTGCTCCCTGCTTCCGTATCTGTGGACAAAAGTGATTGTTCGATCCCAAGGACTCGGAGCCTTCGACCTTCTTGACTCTGCCCTTTCGATTTTTCTCTTCTGTTCTTTTCTTTTTTTGCTGTTGTATATGTGCATGTGTGTATGTGTGCGCGCCTCTATCTCTATCTCTCTCTTTCTCACTTCTTTTATCGTCTTATCGAGGACTATCGACGGGTATCGATCCTGGACCCGTCGATGAGCAAGAGGTCGTTGTCGATCCGTGACGTCAGTCGAGAATACCTATTGTACTTGTTGCAGGAAGCTTTTACACTTTTGTGAAGAAGCTTCTTTTGCAAGGCTCCCAGCCAACGTTCTCGGCTCTTTTGCCAGAAACGTTAATGTCGCTTTTCCCTACATGGACCGTCCGCTCTCCGCGTGAACGCTTCCCACGGAGTGCGTCCTATTCGATCAGTCCTGGATGAATTATTATGTTTTTCGAATAGTAAACAGTGAACGACCTGTTTTATTAGGGGCGCCGATTGAAACG